AAAAAGATTCTGGTCTCAGAGCTGTCTGGTTTCAGAATTGCAGATAAGAAAAGTGTGGACCTGAAAACAAATACCTGAGCATTAGGACATGAGATAAGAGAAGTAACCAGCCCAAGGCCAGACCACCGAGACTAGACATCAGCAAACTTTTTTGGGAAAGGGCCAGACAGCAAATATTTGATGCTCTGTGGACCACACGGTCTCTTTCACAGCCACCTACCTCTGCCATCATAGCAGGAAAGTAGTCATAGACAGTGTGTAAAGGAGTGTGTGTTTATGGACACAACTTTGAATATCACATAAATTTCAGGAGTCATGAAAAGTTTTTTTTTTTAAATATTAAAATCGGAATACCATTCTTAGTTGATGGGTCATATAAAAATATGTAGTGAGCCAGATTTGGTCCATGAGCCAGAGTTTGCTTCTCTTTGATCCTTATAGGCCACTAGAAGAACTCTGGATTTCATTCTAACATAATGGAAAGTCACTGGCAAATTTGGACCAAGGAATTCTGGAGTATGAATTACATTTTTAAAAGACCATTCTGGCTGCTATGTTGAAAATGGATGAGGGGGTAGAGAGATCAGCTAGGAGAATTTTGATGAGAGATTAGAAAAGTTTAGTGGAGGTGATAGGAAGTAGCTGGAGGTAGAGGAGGTAGAGAAGAAGGATTTGCTGCTGAGGATGTGGAGGATAAGGAAAAGAAAGAAATCAAGGATGTTTTTACCTTGTTTTCATCCTGTAAATTATACCTGAATATTCAATAAACCGATTTTTTTCCTGTTTTTGTTATTCAGGAATGGGAAATGAAGAAGACCTAGAAAGAAGATGAGGATTTCATCCAAAGGAAATAACACCTTGTCCATCCAAGGCAAAGCCTTTTTTACAAGGAGACATCAGAAGACTGGAAGTAGCCCAAACTCTCTGGCCATCCCAAAGACCAGCCTTTATTGTCTGCATGATTATAGGGAATATGGGAAGAAAAGAAGTAGAATAGGGAAACAGAGGGCATCCTTATAACTTTACAGAGGGTGGAAATGGGGGCGGAGGGAGACAGAAATCTCTACAGTTGTAAAGGTTTTGTTGAGTGTCTTTGCCTTCCCCTCTGAAGAAGAAATGAAAGCACATGTGAATAAGCCATTCCATCCCCTTCTCAGCATCCCATTCCCAGTCCATAGGAAAAAGGAAGGTCCTGAAGCATCCGTGGTGCAGTACAGAGAGATGGGACTTGGTCATCTGACAACACCTGTGCCAAATGGATTCACACTGACAATCTCTAGGCAAAACAGGCTGAAAAATCAATACCATTATCCCTACTTGCATGAAGTGAACAAAAACTACAGAGATTGTGCAAATTCTACAATCATTCCTCATGACACAGATTCTAGAATCCCAGATTTGAGTGTTTTCAAATCAGAGATCTGGCACAGAGGAGTTCAGCAGGCCAAGAAGTTCAGCAGCTGACATATTTTAAGCTCACAGTGCTACTCAGAAGCACAGATTTCTAATGTTCACAGAATGTTGCAGGCACTGTAAGGTGGGATCATTTGCTATCAATCAAGTCCCCCACCTAGTGTATACGGCACTCAGGCTCTGGGAGCTATGATTAGAAATCCAGGAGATACTCTTTATGTCTTTAACCTTACTTTGCACTTGGAGACCCACCAGTCCGCCCTTTGAACCCTACTATCAAGTAAACCTATCACATAAAACCAAGAGGATGGTGGCTCATTTATGCCACAGGGGTGCTAAATTGTTCATAAACGTTTCATATTTTTATAGGAGAGCAAGGACCTCAAGTCCCAGGCAGTCTTCTAACTGTGCCAATTATTACTTTTTCAACACTGTGGGCCCATTATAGGCCTTCACCACCTTTCCCTCCAATAAAGATAAAAATCATTTAAATGCAAAAGCTCAAAGGTTAACTCAAGGGGAAAGAAAGGAAATCCTAGAGAAGCCTCTGGACACTCTGGGCTGCACACACTACTTACCTAAAGCTTTACACACTTGAGCCTCACCCAAACTGTATCACCCTCTGAGGGAGCAGCAGACCAAAGCAAGTAAAATAACCTGATCCAAAGTACCCAGCTGTCAGTGGCAGAATATAAGGCTTAGGGCTGATAAGCCTGGATCCAGACAAGGCTGCTTGAGCTCTGCCTCTGCCATTTACCAGCTGTGACTTTGACCTCTGATTGTTTTATCTGTGAAAACCATGTTAACAATGGTACTTTTCTCCCAGGACCACTGGGGGGATTCAGTGAGATTAACACACAGGAAGCATCTTGCACACTGTCCAAGATATAGGAAAGGTTCAGCCATAGTGGCTATTAGCTAGATAAAAACCATCTGACAAATTTTGCATCCTTTCCACTGAAGAAATGACTTTCACATGGTTTTAACAACCATTAGAAGCTAAAAGGCAACCAATCCATAATTGACATCTTTCATCCAAATTCCACCTGAGTGTCTTCAGTGACCATGGAGCTGACATAAACTGCACTGCCAACATCATTCTTCCTTAAAATGTAGATCCTGGAATAGCACCCAGCAATTCAACTGTGTATGTGATGTGCGTCACATCCTTTCCTATAGTTATTTGGAGTTATTTTGAGTGCCTTTTCCCACCAATAGATCTTGGCTCTTTGAAGGGGTTACCCTTCAAAATTAATAATTAACATTTACTGAGCACTCACCATGCATCAGGCACTGTTAGCCATGACTGGCTTACAAGACATACATCCTGGGCAGTCACAGAGGGCCCCATGCCTAGCAGGGCTCTGTGCTTGGTTTATTGCTTTGTTACCCTCTCAGTAATCTTGAACAAAGGGCTCCACACTTTACTTTTGCCTTTTATGTAGCCAAACCTGGTGCTAATTACTTCTCTAGGTATTTTCCCTTTAATCTTCACTAAAACCCTGTGAGATAGGTTCTGTTATTCCAGTTTTCACAGTTCAGGAAATGGAAGCCCAGAGAAGTTAGGTAACTTACTCAAGTCCACATTTAAGAAGTGGTGGAGTCGGCATTTGAATACATGGAGTCTGACCCTAGAATCCCCTTCCTCTTGGTTCCAAGGTCCTGTTTGACTTGTGTCCTCCCTCCTTTTGCACTGCAGCATTCAGAAGCACACAAGCACTTAATGAGTGGATGCAGCACACCTGATATAACTTAGCTACGAGATGTTTTAACAAAATGGCTACAGCGTGGATGCCACTTCTGGTTTGGTTGTTTTTTTCAAAGTGTAGGGCCATGGTTCTAAGGTGGACTTGAAGCTCCATCCTCCCCAGTACTGCAAAGCATTTAGATTATCAGACTTCTAGTATCACTTTCCCCTCAGTGGGGGTCCTTGAGCAGGTCCACCAACCCTCTGAGCCTGTTTTCTATGTAAAAAAGAATCATTATCACTCCTTAACCCATGTTTTCCTAAGGCCAAAAGCAAACAGAAGGTTGCTGATTATAACACACTTGAACCAGGCCTTGGATAGAATATAAGGATGCAAAAGACTCCAGCTTTCTCTTAATGGAACTCACAAACAAGCAGAGAAAAACTATGACTCAAATAGCTACAGTACAAACGAGCCACGCTAAGGTGAAGATTCAGAATGACGAAGGCACACTGCTCCTTCCTTAAAAACTTTTTGTCTTTAAGAACTATCCAGTAACTAGTCTGGCAACTCCAAGTGTCCACAACCCCAATTACCAGTCTATTCTCACAACCTGTCAATTTTCCATACTGAATCTAAAATTCACTCATTTCTTCCCATCTCCACTGACACCATTCAACTTCATTAATTCATTTAACAAATACTAGAGAATCTACCAGAGAAGGAAATAACCACCCACTCCAGTATTCTTGCCTGGAGAATGCCATGGACAGAGAAGCCTGGCAGGCTGCTGTCCATAGGGTCGCAGTTAGACATGACTGAAGCAACTTAGCATGCATGCATGCATGCATTGGAGAAGGAAATGGCAACCCACTCCAGTAGTCTTGCCTGGAGAATCCCAAGGACAGAGGAGCTTGGAGGGGTCGCAGAGTCAGACACGACTGAAGTGACTTAGCAGCAGCAGAGCATCTACTGTGTGCCCCTACTGTACTAGAGGTCAAAAGTCACAGCTGTGAACAAGGCAGACACTCTCATAAAGCTTACACTCAAAACAAAAACCAAAAAACTGCTGGCTACACCTAAAATAGTAGTTACTTTAGATAAGGTGGTTACAAACGTCTCTCTGGTGAGGTAATCCCAGGACAGAACACACCCCTTCCCTGCATGGACCCGTCCAACAGCTTGTCTCCCCACCTTAGACCCAATCTCCTCCACACTACAGTCAGTGACCCCTTAAACACGTAATGGCACCGTAACGTTTAAGTTCTTTAGACAAAAGGATTTTGAACAGCTATATTAGGGCACTGTTCCACTGTTGATTAAATATGGACAAAAAAAAAAAAATCTCTGCCCTAAAGGAGCCTACACATTAGTGAGAAGAAATGAAAAAATACACATTTCGAACCACAGTAAGTCGAGGGGGAAGGGGGAATTGGCGAAAAACGGGAGTATGAGTGGTGAGAGATGCGAGTCAGGCTCTGACTTTAATTCCTCACAAGCCCTGGCTCTAACCACCGTCTTGTGCTGCTCCTCCGCCTCCTCCAGTACGTTAGTCCCTTACTTGCAAGGCTCTCCTTTTTGACTTTGCAGATGCTGTTTCCTTCTACCTGAAGCACTTGCCTTCTTTTTTCATTTACTCGTTATTCCGCTTTCAGTTCAAACGTTATTTCCTCTGTGAAAACGCCCCACACTAGGTCATATCGTATTCTAGGGTTCCGCAACACCAAGCCCCTCACGTTTAAATAATGGTCATATTTTGACTTTATATGGTGTTTGCACTTGTTTGTTGTGTAAAACTTCATGTAAGCTCCTTGAGGGTACAACTGTTACTCCCTGTGGTCGCCGCGTATTCCGCGCCTACCACTGAGCCTATTCCCTTGTCACAGGAAACCAACCTACCCGAGGAACATGCCGGTGGCCGGAAGAGTTGCATTGCTTATAGACCCGGTAGGGAACTGCCCAGGAGCAACCCGACAAGTGGCGTTCCCATCCGGGGCCCTAAGAGAAAAACGCCCGCGAAGGCTGCTGGGAAGCGTGGTTTTTGAAGCGAGCGTAGCTCGTCATTTGGAGCAAGTGCGCATGCGCTGCCTCCGTAAGCCGAGGTGGGAACATGGCCGCCAGGCTCCTGTGGGCGGTCCGGCGGCAGATGCAGCCCCTGGCCTCGCATGCCGCGTCCGAGGGCAGGTAAGCGAGGCAGGTAGGGATTGGGAACTTGAGGACAATGAGGGACGAGCTATCTGAAGGGGCAGCTTGGGGCTGGAGGATGAGGGAACCTCTCTAACCTCTCGGCCGCTACAACTGGGCGCTCAAGACCCCATCTTACAGAGCGGGAAACTGAGGTCCACAGCCGCGCCTCCTTGTTGGGCCGAGGTACGTTGGAAGATCCGAGGTCACGCCCTCGGAGGTGGGAATTGTTCTTCTGACTGAATTGGGGACGTACCCGTCCCGCCCCTTTCTCCAGCTTTGGTGCCTACAGGTGAATTGGGATTCTCTCCTAGCCTCCTGTGTGAACATAATGGGGAACCAATATCTGAGCTTCACTTTTCCTGTAGGTAAAAGGAGGGCGTTGGACTTTGCCAAATGGCAATTCCACCTGCCTTCAGGAGTTTAAATTCTGGTGGCTGCTTTTATCCATCGATTGCAGCAGCTTTTTTTGATCACTTATCTTGCCGATTGCAGAACTGTGGGTAGCTCTTTTTATTCTCCCGTTTAACTGGGGAAACTGTGGTTTAGAAAATTTGAGTAATTTCTCCAAACTTAAATACTCATGAAGTTGTGGAATTAAGACTGAAAACCAGTTAGGACTGTAGAATCGGCCCTTTTAAATTAGAGACCAATGTTCATTATTCTCTGGGACGATTCCCTGATGACAGTTTCTTTACCAGAAAAAGTAAACATTGCTGAGTAGGGGGATGGGTAAGGTTGGATCTCTGAAAAGTAAATTACGGTGATATCCGAAAATTTTGCATAACTATTTGTAGCCTTTTTACCATAACACACCTGACCCAGCACTAGGGTGAGAGGTTGAATTCTGGGTTTCAAACATTTTTCCCCTAATCTTTTGGGCAGTTTTTGGTGTAGGGAAGTGATCGGGAGCAAAATGGTTCCTTCTAATAAAATTTCCCCCCCACTCCAGTTCTGAAAGAGTAGCAATTGAACGAATCCACCACAATTCCCCTCTTTCTCATGACTTGGGCCCTGGCCATGTTCCCTTCAACTGGCCCTGAAGATATTTTGACCTATTTTTAATTGGGTAAATGTTGTTTTTTAGGACTTTAGGAGGAAGGATCTATTTCCCCCTGTTTGATGTGGCCCAGATTTATGGTGACCACATTTTCTGAACTGAAAATTGGTAATCATGTATAATTTGACATAAGATCATAATAACTGAATTCAGAACTAGCATGAAAGATAAAAAGTAATCTTGCCCACACCCTTATACTGATGGTTCCCTCATCCCTTTCTTGAACTAAACTCCTTTACCCCTACTAAGCGTTCATTTAGATTTCACCTCAGTGGCCACTCTTCAATATATGCCAGTTTATATAAATAAACTATTTGTTTTAAAGACCTTTCACACCCACAGATTTTCCTGATGGTTTTACTTCAAATTAAATTATGAGTACCCAGGAGGTGTAATGGAAACTTCCTTGATCAGGGGGTTCAAAACTGATGCAATCCGAGATCCACAAACCCCTACTCTAAAATTTTTATGTAAACTGAACTACATATCTATATGATCTATTTCATTCACCTGTTCACAGTCCACAACATAGAGTAAATGTTTGTAAGTTTTTGATTGATTTGATTTTACATGGTAAGTTCCCAACTCATTTTCTCTTTATGCAGATTCTCTTCCATAAAAGCCTTTTACTTAGAGCTTGTGATCAAAAGCTTTAGAATTCTAGGCCTCACTCCAATTTGATAAGGTACCTTTACTGGGGTTAATTTTCCCCATTTATAAAATGAGAGACTGAACCTGAACTGTATGGCTTTTTGTTTTGAATTCTTGCTTCTGGCATTGTCCTGCTGGTTCTAGGTACTATAATTTGGTGTTCTCTTGCTGACTTTTGTGTCCCCACTTCCAGCTATTTCTACTGCCTGATGCTCAGTATCCTGATTCAACAGAATACAAACTATGTGATCTTGAGCAAGGCATAAGCCTCTCTGAACTTTGGTTTTCTCATCTATAAAATAGGGATGATAATAGTATTTATCTCACATATTGTGAGATGAAAAAATGATTTAATAAAAATCTTGTCAACTGTGTCTGGCACTTAACAAGTACATTATAAGTGTTTGTGTTGTTACTGAAACTGAAAGCACTTTGTCTAGAGAGAGTCAATCTGGGAAGCATTCCAGTCTCTGAACTTTGTTGTAACTTTGGCTGTTTATCATGGCTAGGGGATGGCTGCATCCTTTTAGCACTGCCACTCAGAGAACTGCTGGTGAAGACTGCAATTCTGAGGACCCCCCTGATGAACTGGGACCCTCTCTTGCAGAACGCGCCTTAAAGCTAAAAGCTGTTAAACTGGAGAAGGAAGTCCAAGATTTAACAGTAGGTAGATTTTATTTTATATTATCTGTTCATATAGTCTGAAATACATATCATATTTTCTATTATCTGTTTATGTTACCTGTAATCACATCTTCTCTCTGGCTTAAATATTCACATAGTTTTTTTAAGTCAGTTTTTTAAACTGTTTCCTCTAATTAGCTCTTTACTCCCTCTTGTTAGATATGCTGAGCAAAATAATCTGTAGTAGTTCAAAAACATTACCAACTACAGATACTCATCTTTGTTCAGTTTCCTGGTGTATCACAGTACTTAGATATCTGATAATTTTGGTAGTTTCAATGGAAGTACAATGCCTAGCATGTAGTAGACACTCAAATAAACATTTGTTGAATTAGTGTGGTCATTTATCATTTTATTCTGCCAATCAGACTCTTATCTGGCTTAGTGTGCCAGTACTGTACTGATAAGATTTTGAGAAATAGAGTAATTCCAAAGCAGGACCACCCAGAAAGGGCAATGAGGTTAGAAAGTGTGTCTTATGAGAGTAATGAAAGGAACCAGGGATTATAAGAATGAAAGACAAAAAAAGACTAAAGAGGCTAAATAATTGCCTTCAAATAGATGACATATTTTTATTAATACATATTTATTGGCTGTGCTGGGTCTTAGTTGCAGCATGTGGGATCTAGTTCCCTGACCAGGAATCGAACCTAGGCCCCTTGCATTGGGAGCATGGAGTCTTAACCCAGAGAAGGCAATGGCACCCCACTCCAGTACTCTTGCCTGGAAAATCCCATGGACGGAGGGGCCTGGTGGGCTGCCGTCTATGGGGTCGCAGAGAGTCGGAGATGACTGAAGCGACTTAGCAGCAGCAGCAGCAGTCTTAACCACTGAGCCATCAAAGAAGTCCCAAGATGACATACTTTTTAAAATTTACTCTTGGTTGTCCTAGAGTTTAGTTCAACAATAGAAAGTTGGAGGGTGGCAGTGTTGGCTGAAGATGAAAAAGAAAGCTTTTTCTGAAGATAATGAGCTTGAAAACAGTTGTTATGGGTTCAGACTGGCAGCGTAAAAGACAGCCTGTCAGAACTGTAGTAAACAGAGATTGCTGCTCTGACTGGGAATTTGGAGTAGCTGATACAAGATTCCTACACAACTCCTAATGTTTTTGTTTATTTTAATAAAAATCTATACCAAGGGTGAAATTTGTAAAATAAAAAGTTTCTTTTCTACCATAAGCATTTGTTTTCTTATCATTTTGACTTTGCTTCTGATGCTCAGGTGAGATACCAGAGAGCTGTAGCTGACAGTGAAAATATAAGAAGGCGAACCCAGAGATGTGTAGAAGATGCCAAGATATTTGGTGAGAGATTTATTAATAATAAAAATATTTTTTAGTTTAGGGCACTTACTAGCAGTTCTGCACACTGAACTTAGCAAAAAACACATCTGGGTCCTTAACCAGCCTATACTGTACCCTTCCAGAACACCCATAGGTTTTATGTGCTGCTTATTGGGAATGTTGGAAAATGAACCATTTGCTGAAATAATGTTTGCCTTTATTTTCACCAGAATTTTGTTATTTTTCAAGCATGTACAGTTATCATTCTAGTGCCTGTACAGGCAGTTCTGTTTAACTATTTAATGAACAAGTGAAGTGAATCGTTAATCAGAAAAGAATCCAAAGAGCAGAAACATAGACAATCAGAAATGCTAAAATTTGCTTCATCTAAGCAAAACTGGTCTGTATTCAGAATGCAATAACTAACTATGTCTCCACCAGACAACTTTCACAACTGTAGACAAAAATCATTTGCGTTACTCTCACTGTTGTACAGCTTGCTGAGTTACAACTCAAAGGCTCAGACCACATGGAGTCAGATAACCCTCATGGGTGTGCTAGATCAAATCTATTTTTTCACTGATGGCATTGAATAATCTTTTTGGTTCATTTCAAAGTCTCTTCAGAAATCTTTTCCTAAATGCACCACATCTTGTTCCAGATCTGTTCATGAAACTGTTAGTTGAATAACAGAGATTCAAGGATAAAAGGCAATCTTTGATGACTTGCTATACTCACAATTTTTTTTTCCATTTATTTTTATTAGTTGGAGGCTAATTACTTCACAACATTGAAGTGGGTTTTGTCATACATTGACATGAATCAGCCATGGAGTTACATGCTATACTCACAATTTAATACGGAGCATTACACTTTTACTGCACATAGAATGGAGTGCCCGACGGGCCCTTGGATACTATATAGTGCAGTCTCCTCTTATAGGCAAGCTAGAAAAAGTTATTTGACATCAGATGTAGATATGAATCCATTGATCCCTGATCCCTAATCTATTTTTCTTTCCCTTGTATCACTCATACTCCTTCCTGTTCTCTGTATTTTATCTGCTGTTTATACACAAGATTCACTCCATTTGTGTCCCATCCAACCCCATTCCTTTGGCTTAGCCTT